CGGTTGTCCACGTGTCATCACCTAGATGTGCCATGTCAGCTAGATCGGTTATCTGACACTACAAGGCGAATAACACCCCTGGCAAACAATTGCACCCCCCCCCCACCTTCTCCTCCTCCTCCTCCCCCTCGGCCTCCTTCGTCTCCACCACTCCTCCTCCCTCCTCCTCCTTCTCCCCTCTAACCTCTTCGTCTCCGTCATGAGCGCCCCCCCATCATAGGAGGATAAGATGGGGCCTCCACGGGTCGACAAGCCCCCAGCTTAGCACGCTCCCACTCCGTTCGATTACCCTCTCTCTCTCTTTCCCACTCCATTTCCAGTCTCTCTCACCGAACCTCCTCCTCCTCCCACCGAACCTCCTCCTCCCACGGACCCTACTCCTCCGCCCACCAATCCCACTCCTCGTGCACCGGCATTGTACACGTCACCACAGAGGTGACGTCAGCAGCCAGCTCTATCTTCCATAGATAGATTCTCTTAGACCGCGTCCCTCAATCAACGTGAACCGACCGATTCGATTCGATTCGATTCGATTCGATAGGATTGGATTTCATCCAGAGATCAAGACTGAGCTGCACGTTCCTTTGCTGAGACAACGACGGGGGGGCTCAGGTTCTGCAGTTGCAACACAGAAACGCATCAGTAATTTGACTTACGACACCCTATCTCGGTCGAATTTGGTCGTAAATGCGGTCAGGTACGTCCATTCCCTACGCGATCTTCGCACTTTAGCAAAGACTACAGTGCGACCGCCTTGAGGTCCGACCACTCGCTTCGCCTGGCAGCTTTGGATCACCTTCTACAGTCTATTTATATGCCTATATACCTGTATGTAGTCTTACCGTCTATCTATATGCCTATATACCTGTATGTAGTCTTACAGTCTATCTATATGCATATATACCTGTATGTAGTCTATGTTTGGCTTAGAAAACCGAGCGAACGAGAGAGAGAGAGAGAGAGAGAGAGAGAGAGAGAGAGACAGAGAGACGACTGTGTTTTTACTCAGAGAAGGCCCTTTTCTTGCAGGCTCGCCTACACAGACCTTGTTTACGACCTCTCGTTCCTCTAAATGGGCTTTCTCACTGCACCCCCACAGCGGCAAAACCCTAGGATGTCTTTAGCGTCAGGCGGGCCCCATTGGTGCTATGTTTGCGCTTGGAACGCATGAACCTGGTGCTATTCGTGCTTTGTTAGCATGAACAATAGAGACATCCTACCCCTACCCATAGGATGGCTTTAGACAGAATCCAACAGGATGGATTAGACAGACTATCCATGTCTCTGACATTGATCATCCATCCATATGTTCTCTGATTCTCTGACACGAGCACACACACGACCCTTCATCTGTTCCGGCTAAGTACTTATATACTTATGCCGTCGACTACCTGTAGCATAGATCACAACAGTTCCGCTGACTGATGTCTTCTACAAACCTCCTTGCTCTGGCTTCCTTTCTTCACCCCTATCCCCTCCTCTTGTCTCACTTGTCTCATCGCTCCCGGTCCTTTCCACGCTGGTCAGCGCTCTTTATAACACTGCGGGCATACTCGCAATGGCAGTTTTTCTACCAAACACCGGTCGTGATTGCGGTCGGATACATCCAGACCGGGCCCTAATTGCAATCAGATACATTCGGGAAAGCCACAGTCTGAGAATGTGCCCTGATTTTTCCACGGCAGTGCGGCCCCTGCGGACCTCTTCGTTCGGGGGTCACCAGATCAGAAAGAAACAGCCAATAGTCAAACCCAGAGGACGCCAGCCGGCCGTT